ATGTCATTACTCCTGGGCTAGTCACACTCCCAAGCCTTTGGTTTTCTTCAAAACAGGAATTACATTCCCTTGTCCAACAAATAGCTGTTGTGCACCTAGGCCCCGTTGTTAATGTGTACTAGTTAGTGTGGGCCAGGCCCGGTCTTGGTGCTGGGGGTGCAGGAAGAAACGTAATGGAGGAAGGCTCCAGCCTCACGGAGTTCTTTCGAGGGAAGGCAGAAATGTTCTCTTTGGGACTGAGTTATTCATAGATATTCGGGACAGCAACTTTCCAGGTGCTCGGTGCCTGGCTCGGTGCTGGGCCCTGGAGACCCAAAACTGAATCAGACCCTGGTCTGGAAAGCAAGATGAGTGCCAAAGAGCTATTAATAAAGTAACATGACCGTGGCATGCCGGGCTTGGAGCAGAGTCCTGTGGGTCCCCAGGGGAGGGAACAATTCCTTCTGCTTCAGAGAACAGGTGATTTGTAACTTGGGAGAAGGGTACTAAAGCATTTGAGAAGGTGGCAGGAAGTGGAGAGAGCCTTGCAGAGGAGATGGAAGCCTTTCAGGGGAATGCCAGCTCATTCAGAGAAAGGGATGCCTGGAGCTTAGGGGAGCAAAGCAGGAGATGGGGCACAGAAAGGAGGCAGGGTCTGGTTCTGAAGGGCCCCAAATAGGCTTTGTCCTGTAGGCATGGGCATTGGGGAGGGGGAGTTAAGCAGGGTGTGTGTTCCAGAGAGAACCTAGGCCAGAGCCTGGCTTACTGTAGCTCAATAAATACTCAGGAACCTGGAAGCTGCTGCAGGAGTGGGGGTGGGGCTGGAACCAGGGCACTGCAGAGGAGGGGTGATCTGGAGATGGAGCAGGCCCAAGTTGGGGGTTCTTACGGCATGGCCTCTGTTCCAGACTTCAGCCATTCAATTCAATGCACATTCACTGAGCTTCAACTGTGCCAGGTGCTGGAAACAGTACAAGGACAAACAGACAGTCCCCACAGAAATTAACCGAGTCATCCCAAGGGGGGTAAGGTGCACTGGGGAGGCTGGGGGATTCCTAAGGGTATGTTGTAGGGTGACTCTGTCCTCTCTCTTCTGGAACCCTGGCAGTACTTTCAGGGGCGGCTGGCGGGGGCCAACAGCACTGCCAGGACCTTGGGCACCAACCACACTGGCCCTGCGGACACTTTCAACTTCAACAACTGGGTGACGCTGCTGTCCCAGCTGCCCCTGCTGCTCTTCACACTCCTCAACTCCTTCCTGTACCAGTGGTGAGACGCCCGCCCTTGGGCTGCCTCCCAGGCCATCCCCTGTTGTCCGTGCCCTACTTCTGTTGAGGCAGCTCCCTCTGAGCCCAGGGAAGACCTCCCATCCTTCCTCCATGCCCCCTGCAGTTCCCCCATCCCCACTGTTCAGCCCTGGGCTGAACCTCTTGCCCATCTCCCTCTGCCCGGCCCGGGCCCAGCTGATGCCCACTCTGCCCCCCCCCCCATGAGCAGCATCCCTGAGACAGTGCGGATTCTGGGCAGCCTGCTGGTCATCCTACTGCTCTTTGCCCTGACGGCGATGTTGGTCAAGGTGGACATGAGACCTGGACCCTTCTTCTCCATCACCATGGCCTCTGTCTGGTTCATCAACTGTGAGCACCCCTGCCCCTGCCCACTTCCCTGCCCAGCCCAGCCCACCCGGGACTTCAGCCCAGCCTCTTTTTTATAACTGAAAGGGCCCAATGTATCCAAAAAGGGAAGACAGCAGCAGCAACATCCATATTCCTGATGAGAAACTGAGACCCAGAGGGAGGGGAAAAGTCACTTGTGACAGGCCCTACAGTGACTTAAGAACTGGCCTCTGGGCCCCTAGGCCTGCAGGTCTATGGATGCACCTCAGAAGAGGAGTGAATGAGGGTTGTTACACCAGAGTGGCAGGAGTCTTATGCCTGCCCACCTCATCCAGAGTCTGCTGTGCATCCTGCCGACACCTCCTCCAGGGAGCCCCTGAGACCTGCCTAGTTGAGTGACAGCCCCCATTCTTGTCCCTCTACAGCCTTCTGTGCAGTTCTGCAGGGCAGTCTCTTTGGGCAGCTGGGCACCATGCCTTCCACCTACAGCACCCTCTTCCTCAGCGGCCAGGGCCTGGCTGGAATCTTTGCTGCTCTTGCCATGCTCATGTCCATGGCCAGTGAGTAGACTTGGGTGGCTGGAGGGGAAGGGTGGCTTCTGTGATTCTGGGGGGTAGGGAGAGTGAGCCAGGAGTGAGATGCCTTGGGTTCTAGGTGGAGACAGAGGTGAGGGGGTGATGGGAGCTGGGGATTGGGTTTAGGGTAGGGAACAGGGCTCTTGGCTTCTACAGTGAGAGAGTGACTGGGTGAGGATTGGGTTAACTTGGAGCCAGGGGCAGGATTCCTGAGGCCAACACTGGTATGTGGTAGGTGAGGTTAAGGGAAGGAGGAACAGGTTTGGGATTCAGATAGACTTGTGTTCAAATCCCAGTTCGGCTGCTCCTTAGCCAGAGGCATTGGACACGGCACCTAACCTGTGTCAGTTTCCCCACCAAAATGGTTAAGCTCCATCCTCAGACTGTAAGGAGCATGCAATAATAGTAAGCACATAGTAAGTGCACACAAAAAATGGCATGTAGGGAAGAGTGAGAGAAGTGAAGGGCTGGCCTGGGGCCCTGCGCAAGATTCCTGAGTTTGTCAGTGAGAGGAGTGGAAGAGACCGGGAGATGAGTCTGAGAGGGTCATAATGGGATGTGGGCCGAGCCATCTACTGCTGCAGCTGAAGTTTCCGCACAGGTGGCGTGGATGCGCAGACCTCCGCCTTGGGGTACTTCATCACGCCCTGTGTGGGCATCTTCGTGTCCATCGTGTGTTACCTGAGTCTGCCCCACATGGTGAGCCTGGCCTGGAGCTCAAGGCTGCACTTCAGAGCATCTCAGATACAGACCTGCCCTGAGTCTGAGGCCCCAAGAGATGCCAGGGGAGGTAGAGGGGACCTGGCCCCAGTCCTGATCCCCAAAGGAGTCAGCCACTGAGGGACCCCAGCCTCTAAGCCAACAGGGTGTGGAGAGATCCAGATACCTCAACCAAGCAAGGCAGGACCAACGTTTTCCTTCTGCAGGAGCTCGCTCGCTACTATCTGGCCAAGAAACCGTCGCTGGCACAAGGTCAGGAGCTGGAGACCAAAGCTGAGCTCCTCCAGTCTGGTGAGCCCTGGACCCTGCTGGGAAGGTAGAGACCCAGAGGAAGCTAGATCCACCTCCACAGGGAAAGATTTCCTCTCTGTCCCCAACTACAGCCCTCGCCCCTAGTAGTAGCCTCGTATGAGAGGCAGAAAGAAAATCACAAATGAAGTCAGGGGGTTAAAGTCATCCCTTTGCCTTTTGGGCCTTGGATTCCTCCTCTATAAAATGGGGAGGCAGTAGAACTCAGACATGCAAGTTCTGGATCCAAATGCATCCAAGTTCGAATTCTGGCTTCACAACATCCAAGCTGTGTGACCTTAGCCAAATCACTTAACCCCTCTGAGCCTCCGTTTCCTTATTTGTAGAGCAATGGCAGTGAGATAATAATCCATTCAAGGCGCTTAATCTGCCTGGCACGTGTATGTGCTTAATAAATAGTAGCTGAGCATATTTCCATTGTTAATTGTCTTTGCCTGCACCCTGGGCTGAAGGAGGGTCACTGTTTTAATTGCTGGGAATCTCCCTGCCACAGGTAAGGGTCACAAATATGACCCTGCCCTCCCCTCTTGCCCCAGGTGAGAAGAATGGGATTCCCAACAGCCCCCAGAAGACAGCCCTGACTCTGAATCTTGACCCTGAGAAGGAGTCAGAGCTGGAGCCAGAGGAACCCCAGAAGCCAGGAAAACCTTCAGTGTTCATTGTCTTCCGAAAGGTTTGGCTTGGATATAACCCCCAACCACCATACCCAGAGACTCAGAATGGAATGGGCCTTAGTACTCACCTTGTCCACCCCAAGGTGACAGGTCATAGTGGGTTGGGGACACAGCTGAGCCAGGCCCCAGGTGTCCTGCTCCCGCACCAGGGCTCGGGCAGGAGGGTCGGGGCTGAGTGTTAGGCCCCAGGTCTGCCCCCACTGCTCACACCCCTGCCTCCGGCTCCCAGATCTGGCTGACGGCGCTGTGCCTTGTGTTGGTCTTCACAGTCACCCTGTCTGTCTTCCCTGCCATCACAGCCATGGTGACCAGCTCCACCAGTCCTGGGAAGTGGAGTGAGTGCTGGGAAGCAGCAGAGGGCCAGGCAGGGGAGTGAAGGGGAGGGAAGGAAGAGGGGAGTTGGGACCAGGGCAAGCCTCTCTCCCTCCCAGGTCAGTTCTTCAACCCCATCTGCTGCTTCCTCCTCTTCAACATCATGGACTGGTTGGGACGGAGCCTGACCTCTTACTTCCTGTGGGTGAGCATCTGGGCGGGGTGATCTGATGGTTTTAGGAAGCAGCTGGGGATCACAGGGGGTGAAAGAGCACAGAAAAGTGATTTCCCACAGTCTAACCGGTCTGGGCCTGGCAAGGGGACAACCTGCCAGGTGGCAGTGAGCACCTCACCCCAAGAGGTACACAACCCAGGCTTGGACTGTGAGCTCCTTGAAAGCAGAAACTGTCCAATTGACCTGTGTCCTCAGCATCCAGCCCAGAGCCCAGCCCTTGGTGCTGAGACTGTTGCGAAGAGGTTCTTACACCATGTGCGGGGACACAAAATTCCTAGTGTTTGGATTGCTCTGAGCCAATGTGCTGCTTCATTAAGTGAAATCTTTCAAGGAGACATAACAAAGTTGATAAAAGAGGAGCTGCTCTGATCCAAGCAGGAGGGGGCCTGGATCCCCAGCTTCCAATCCTGTTCAGCAACCCCATCTGCCCCAGAGGGGTCTGTGGAACCCCCAGGGGTGTTTGGAGGAACTGAGTTTGAAAACCAAAGATGCTGCCTAAGGCCTCTACCAGTCCTGCCATGGAGAGACCACGAGCTGAAGGCTGGTCCTTGCTTGCTGGGTGGCCTTGGCCCAGTCCCTTACTCTGCAGAGGCCCAAGAGCTGGGTCCTCACTGGCTCATGCAGGGTAGCTCAGGGAAAGTGAGGGGGGTCCCCTGCGGTAGAGACCCTGCTCCCAGGGCCCGCGCTGACCCCAGCTTCTGCCGCAGCCGGACCAGGACAGCCGGCTGCTGCCCCTGCTGGTCTGCCTGCGCGCCCTGTTCATTCCGCTCTTCATGCTGTGCCACGTGCCCCAGCGGTCCCGGCTGCCCACCATCTTCCCGCAGGACGCCTACTTCATCACCTTCATGCTGCTCTTCGCTGTTTCCAACGGCTACCTGGTGTCCCTCACCATGTGCCTGGCGCCCAGGTCTGGGGACAGCCTGGAGGGCCTGCGAGTGGGGAGGTGGGTTAGTTCTTTGAGGGGGGACAGCCTGCAAGGGAGGGCTCTTTCCGCTCTGGCCAGCCCGGCTCCAGCTGTCTCCAGGCCTCACTGGCGCCACCCTTTGGGTCAGGCCTTCGCTGCAGGAGCTGGGAGAAGGTGACTCTCCTGGGGAAGTTCCTGCCTAGTGAAGTTGCCCAGGCACTGGTTCTGGGACCTCCTTTCCGGCCCTCAGTTTCCCCGTCTGTGAAAGAAACGGGTTAGAATGTCATTTCTTAGGGCCTAGCTACTCCCCAAATTCCCAGTTGAAGCAGAGCTAAAGTTTTGCTCAGAAGCAGGGTTCATGGGTTATTTACTATAGGAACAGTGGGGTTGAGAATCCAGAGAGGTGACAGGGACAGGCAGTTTGGGGGCAATTTATTGAGAGGGAAGCAGTTGAATCTAGAATCCTATAATACTGGACCCCAGGGGACCCAGAGATGTCCTTGTCCAGGGTCCTCATTTCACCGATTAGGAAACAAATCCAGAGAGAAGGGCCTAATCGCCGTGGCCCAGAGGTTGGGTCAGCCCAGACTAGAACTCAGGCGTCTTGTAGGGAGGGCAGGGGCCACCGGGGCTGGGTCCAGGTTTGGCCAGGCATTTTCTAAGAGCTCCTAACCCTGTGTGTTCTAGGCAGGTGCTGCCACACGAGAGGGAGGTGGCCGGCGCCCTCATGACCTTCTTCCTGGCCCTGGGGCTGTCCTGTGGAGCCTCCCTCTCCTTCCTCTTCAAGGCGCTGCTCTGAAGGCTCCGTGTCGGGCTCTCCAGCAGCTCTCCTCTCGCTGCCCCTTCGGAGCCGGAGCTGAGACCCAGCGCACAGGAATGGCGAGCCAGGCTCAAGCCTCTGTGGGGCTGGGGCCCCTGAGTCTGGGGGTGCCAGGAGGAGGCGGGTGCTGTCTCCTTCCCGGGCTGGTAGCCACTTGGGGTGCTGCGAGGAAGAATTCACCACTGGTCATTTCAGCCCTCACCCAGGATGGAGGCGACACACAGAGGTGGACTATCCAGAAGCACACAAGACCTCATTGAAAGGGTGGCAATCGGAAGGAGGGCCGAGGGTCAGGGCCCTGGTGCATTTACTTGTTAATCACAAGGAAGAGACCTGCTGTCCGAGGGGCCTGAGGCCACAGCGGGGCTCTGCAGAGGGTCTGGTTGGTGTGGCCCCAGCCTCAGGTTCAGAGTGGGAGTGTGGGCCAGCCCATGGCAGGAACTCTTCCTCTCCCCAGGCCTCAGGGACCCCACAGTCAAGTCTCTCAGGCCCCAGGACAGAGGGCGCCAGGGAAGTTGAGGGAGCAGGGAGGGAGAGCAGGCATTATGGATCTGAGGGTGCTTGCGGGACCCCCTGGGCCTCAGTGTTTTTGTTGGCAACATTTACCCCCTCTACTCCCAGAGCCCAGCTAGGCCGGGTCCCAGGTCTGTAGTTAGCCGGGGTGTGCACACGGCGCTTTCCAGTCCGCAAAGCTCTCCCACACCTGCTCTCGGAAGCCGCACTGAGGACCGTGGAGGGAGCCAGGCAGGGACTGTGCTTCCCCCTTGTATAGGTGAGGAAACTGAGTCCAGGGGTAAGTGGCCAATTCCTGGCAGAGCTGGGACCCAGCCCCACCTCCCTCCTCCCTGTAGGTGCTGTTCTCCCTGCCCCATTCCTGCTTGTCTTCCTCCAGGGGCTCAAGGCAGAGCCCTGAGCACTTACTCCACCTTTCTGCTGTTTCTCTCTGCCCCTGCCCCTGGGTCCAATAACAATCTTCATTTGTATAGTGAAGTCACCGAGTCTTTCTTTCCAAAGTACTTTCAGCTCTATTGGCCTCAATGAGCTAGATGGGGAGGGGATGACTGAACCCATTTGGCAGATGGGAGGACTGAGGGCCTGAGAGGGGCAGGGATTTGTGGGCATCCCTGTGATGGCTAGGGGTATTGGCCTGCAGGGAGCCCTGTACTTCTAGGCAGAGCACCTGGCTGCATGGACGACTCTCCTCTTCCCTTCCATGGGTCTCCACTGCCACTCCAGGCTTCCCCTTCTCAGAAATGGAGATTTACACAGTCAGCTGATTCTCTAGACTAGAGGGACAGAGGAGAGGCCTGCTTCACCACACACTGCACTGCCCTGCGCAGCCCAGAGAAAAGCAGGGTGGGTTTTTTTTTGCCATTTTAGGCACCAGCCTTGCTGCCCACTTGCCTTCCTGCCTTCTGCGAACATTCCCTGAGCTGCATAGGGCAAGGTCTGCAGGAAGCAGACCCCTTATTAATGGTTTTTAGCTCTGCTCTTTGAATGTCTCAGGTCCCACTCTATCACAGCCAGCCCCTCACCCTGGCCAGGCCTCTCTGCCCAGAACAGAGGCTCTGGGCCTTTCTCCGGCCCGTTCCATGTAGCTTTCCTTGACGCCTGCCAAGCCCAGGCACTGTTTTTCAGTCCACCCCTTAGACTAGAACCCCTGGGAACACTTCAGAAGCCTCTGATTTACTCATTCAACAAACATGAATGGATGCCTGCTGTGTGGCTAGCACTGCAGCGGGTGAGAGAAGGGTGTTGTGGGCAGAAAACTGAGTGTTGTGCCCCAGCAAATTGAGGTAGAAAATAGGTATTGTATGAGTGCCGTAGATGAAACACAAATGCTCATAGGGGTGTACAGGCAAAGTGTAGGGTTGAAACTTCTGCAAAGAGAAGACTGTTTGCAAAGGGGGAATCACTCATGCTCTGGCCATTTGTCACCCTGAGGGAATGCAGGCCTGGCATTGCCAGATTTTCCAGGAGTTAAAACAAAAGTTGGAAATGTGGATTTTATATGAAATCTCCTGATTCACCAAAGTTAACAACTAATGTAATTCAAATGGTCCTTTTAAACACTGAGCAGGTCAAAGAAAACCCAAATGACACCACATCTGGCTTCTGAGCCTCCAGTTTGCAAGGTCTGTGCTGAAAGGACCTGTGTGGACCTTTCTCCTCTGGCACGGGTCACCAATGAACACCTGCAAGGACCATACCTGTGTCTCCTGCAAGGCCACATCCTGCTGCCTATCAGTTCCTGGTCTGAGCAGCTCAGTAGGTGTTACTGCTGGGGGCTGTGGAATATAGGTCTCCTGGTCACTCTTCAACTCAACAACCTTGGTTCTCACCTGTGTAGTAGTGAGAACACCTTACCCCTGCCCTCCTGGCCCTCCCCAGTCTGTCCCAGAGCACCTTCCCAAGATTGACAGCGCTTGAATAGTTATTACCTATAATGGATCTATGAGTCAAAGTACCTGCCCTTCCCCACAACCTCTCCTCTTCTAAAGAATCCAAGGATCAGTTATTCCACACTCATTAAGCACCTTCTGCATAAGGCTGGTGTTGGAATATTCAAGACCTCCTGCTTGTGTGTGTGTATGTGTGTGTGTGTCTGTCTGTCTTCAGGAAGGAGGTGTGTGGATACAAGGTCTTCCTCCTGAGAGAATTGCTGCAGGGAGGAAAATCATTGGGCTGAATGGAGTAGTAATTTAAATGATCAAACGCCACCCTAACCACCACCACCACCCTTAAGTTCCACTACTTTAGTAGGGAGGGGGCGCTTCCGGGAGTGCTTCTCTGATTAATATATTGGCCCCTATTTGGCCTTGGCCAGAATTCCGGTTCTGGTCTTCAAAGTGCCACCGAACCCTGGGCCCTCGGTGTAAGGAAAAGGAAAGTGCACCTCCAACTTCTGTCCGGAAGGTTTAGGTACAGAGTATGCAGCGCCTGCAGGGAGAGGAGATGCGTGGTGAACACGGTGGCGCTCCGGTCCGGGGGGATGTAGAAAAGAAAGCGTCATCTCCTTGTAAAAGGCGACCGACGAGGATGGGATTCGAACCCACGCGTGCAAAGCACAATGGATTAGCAGTCCATCGCCTTAACCACTCGGCCACCTCGTCCCACGTAAAAGCACTCTTTTCCAAATTGCCTTATCTCTTATCTCCTCCGCGCCCTCTGAGCCCCGCCGTACCTATTTTTCGGTGCGGTTCTTGAAGGATCTACCGTAGGGAGGGACAGCAGAAAAAAAGGGGTTTTTCGTGTGTGTTCCTTTCCTCCCGCCGCAGCCAAGAACCCGGACCATCCTTCACCAAGCCGCAGCTGAGCTCTGCCTCGGTTTCCCGTCCCCGAGTCCGGGGCGAGCGCGCCAAGGTTTCGGGACGCGCTTGGTCGAGGAGGGTCGCGCTGACCGGGAGGGAGCGGGTGCGATCGCTGGGATCCCCGCGGTGCGGCCGCGGGCACATGCAGCGTTTGCAAAGCGCGCCGCGCGGGCGCGGGTGCAGTAGCTCCTCCAAGCGTGCAGGGGGCGCCCTGGCCAGCCCTGAGGCCCGTGCGGCGGGAGGGGCTGTGCGCGGGGCTCG